GTCAAAATTTTGGTGTCGATCATTCGATTTCATCCTGGACACTACAGAAAATGGGCTAAAAGTGTTAAAAACCGGAATTTTCCTTTAATTAACTGAAAAAATGTTGCATAGTATGCCTTTAAGCGCTATGGTTCCTGCCGAGGTCTGAGCGCCAACAAAAAAGTAATTGTATCAATAAATTTCTCCCAATTGTCTTTTCTCTGATTTTTTCCCAGATTGAAATAATGTTAACTACTTATCTGCATTTTTATGCATTTTTTTTATCAGCAGCTTGTTTGGAGGTCAAAAATATGGACTCATTTCACGAGCAAACCAAAAACTTGCTGAGAAAGAAAGCAAATACCTCTTTCCTAAAAGCTTTTTTTATTTCAACATAAATCTGTATTGTCACAGTTTTTACAAAAATACATAAATGCAACCAAGGTGGAAATTTATGACAAGGGAAAAGCTCTAACCCAGTTTTGTCCTTATTTGCCCTCTTAATTACTTTCTTTTGTATCTATATTCTAGTTGTTTTTGGTGCATTTTCTGTTGTTTTACACAATAAGAGCCTGTAATTGAACAACTGTAACACTATTTTACTCTGATACAGTGGTTATTTGTGCTTTCGGCTTTGAAAATGCAAAACAAATCTAACAGAAGAGTAACGCTGGTACAAACAAAAATGTAAAAGTTCAATACTTTGGAAAACAGAAATTCAGGCAGTTTAGCAACAATATGAGTGTTGCACACTTTTAGATATGTACAATTTCTGTAAATTGGATTTACCCTGCTTGGCTTTATATCATTACCTAAATGTTTTCTCTCATATTCACTCAAATCTTACATTAAAATCAGACAAAAATCACACTCATAAAATAAATACATAAACACATGTTATGAAAGCATGTAGTATTCAGAATAATACCAGAAATGTAATGCAAGGATAGAGCAGAACAATAGCAATATGAAATGAATATTAATCAAATATACATTTTTGTATAACCTTCAATAAAAGCAAAGTTGCATTGTTACCCAAAAGATTAAGGCAAACAGCAGAAAAGAATAGCAAGCAACTACAGTGTAATACAACGATGAAAGCAAAGTTAGAAATGTGCAAATGTTAGTAAGATCAGGTGCTTTTGGTTTTACTGCATACTGGAAGTTTGTTAGTGAACAAAGTGAAAAGTTGTGCTCGCTTTACAAGGCGGAGAGAAAGTTCCAATATGGAAAAGATAATCATGTAAAAATATACCGGTATGGAGGCTAAAGTCGTCTGTCTCCCAGGCCCAGATTTACTGGAAGCTCCAGGGTTGGGCTGGTTTGTGGACCCAAAGTGCTGTGTCTAAGTGAAACAGAACAATTTCATACCACAAATGTTTGTAGGCTGAGACAGTGACTTCTCTGAAACAAAAGAGTCAGCAAACTGCAGATTTTTGACTATTTTCAAAGCCATGCATCGCCTAGGGTTTTTTTTTTTTACAAAAATAGTATACACCATTAAATTAGATATCTCCGGTTATGCGTCCCATTAGCCGCAGCAAACAGATGTTCCAGTTTCCCTCTCCAATAATATGGTGCAACGACAATTGCAACATTTTGTAAAAACAGCACATTATTGAAAAATAAAGTATGACAATGAGACATGCAGAAGAATAATATCCAAGATAAAAGCTGGTGTACCTACCAGTTCAAGGAAGGTATTCTCCAGTGATTTATACTCCGGGGAGCTCTTGTTGAACAGGTCGTCAGTAAACATCATGTTAGTGACTCTCAAGCTAAAGAAAACCACCAACTCTTTGTTCTTCTCCACAGCTGTCATCAGAGGTGTGCTGGCTTGTCTCATGGAAGGAGCGGCTGTAGATCCATACGGACCTTCATCGGACTCTGAGGCAAATCCACTACCGCTCTCCTCTTCCTGAGGGTCTGTTACTCCCTCTGCCTCTTTGGCGTTGGGATTATCTATAGGAAGCGTTACGTTGGCCGGGGTTACTTCACCATTCCCTCCAATCAGATCATACCTGACCTCACCAGCTTCATCTCGATCCACAGGGGAGGGCAAAGGCCTCTCATCTGATTCAGCTTCGCTGCCGTGGAAGGTGTCCTCACCAGATGAAGGGGTGGAAGCTGGGACAGCTGGCTCAGAGGTATTTACTTCCTGAGCTGTGGGAGCTGTAGGTTGTGGTGGGTCAAGGTTAACCTCAGGAGGAGCATCCATTGGATCTTCAACAGGCTGGGAGCTTGAAGTTCCTCTCGGATGCTCTGTGCTGTCCCCATGAACCAGATCCAGATCTAGTAAAGAAATATAAGAGCAAAGGATGTCATTTATATATAGGCCATAGTCAGGCCATGGGCGTCCCTTATTACAGGTGACAACCATCACATTTTTCTTTTTAGTACTTGTTAGGATTTTAGTCTAAAGAAAATAAATTATCTAAAATAATGTAAACTTAATTGATCTCACAATGGAGAAATTAACTCTCTGCATTTAACTAATCCAGCAGTGGGCTGCCACTGCTCCCCAAAAAGAGTTGTTTCAAACTCACAACCTCAGGATTCTAAGCCCTACAGTGGGTCCTGGTTGGAAATGGACACTTAACTCACGAATTGCGTGAAAAACATGTGACTACTATAGCCACTAGGTGGCAGTATGAGTCCATTTTGGCGTCCCATGAGTCAGGATTAGATAGGTCAAGGAACAGACTGGGAGGAGTATAACGTGTTGAGAGCTGATAGCGTAGACCAAAGAGTGAGTGTTCTGCAGTGTAAAATGTTGAGGGTTCGGTCCCAGCTGTGGCCAAGTGTATTTTTGTTGCCTTAAATGTTTTTCTATTTTTTTTAATCACTTGATGGCCTATGATATCAAAAATTGTACAATAACTTATTTAACTTCTTTATATATTTTACGGATACTAGCCTATTATGCTGTTTGACTTTATGGCATCGTTCTTTTATTTAGATCAGCTGATGTGCGCTCCACCTTTCCAAGGAATTACATTAGACCATAGGGATTATCATTCTACAGCCTCAATATCTTACTCTGATAATAATAGGCATATTGTTATACTATTTTTGTTATTTTTATTATTATTATCATTATTATTATTATTATCTAGCTGGTAAAATTTTCAGTATGTCTTAAATCCCCTACAATTTATCTCTGCCTTTAATCCGTCCCCTTGGGGAGCAGTGGGCTGCCATGGCGCCCGGGGAGCAATGTGGGGTTAAGGGTGTTGCTCAGGAACCCAGAGTTGGGGCTGTGGGGATTGAACCAGGTGCTTGCAGCCCTCTCATAGCACAAGCGCTCTGCTCTAACCCACAAGGCCAACACTCCCCTAAAAAATAGAAATAAATTGAACTTAATTGATCTCATAATGGAGAAATTAACTCTCTGCATTTAACTAATACCCTTTGGGTAACAGTGGGCTGCCACCGTGCAGCGCATGGGGAATTGGGGGTTTCTGGGAG